GCAGGAATAAAAGGAAGAAAAAGATGAGAAACAGGAAAAGAGGACCCCTGAAACAGCCCAGCCCCCTAACCCAGCAGGCAAAATATCTAACCCTTTCATGTTTGCACATTTGTATTTCATTGTTTCAGATCATACATACTTTTGTCTTGGTCATCATGTTTTGTTTTCTATCATGACAATATTATTTAATCTATATCTTCCCTTTGAAGTTAATTTAAAGATGCCAAAACAGAAAAAAACAATTGCCGATAGTGAATTGAGGCTACAAAGTTAAGCACTGGAGGAGTGGGAAATGTTAGAAAGAAAATTGTCTGTGCATCATCCCCCTCTTGATTGTATGCATTAATTACACAATCACAGTGCGTAAAGGTTTTATTCCAAAAGTCCCCTGCCTTAGTCAGTGCATAGAGTGCGTAATGCTTAAGAATTAAGTTGGGGCTCTGTGAAGTGCCATCTAATTTATTGAACTGGTTCTCCTAACATACACTGTAGTATGAGCAAGTATGGTAGCGGCATGTGGAGACTATCTGAGCTTGGAAGTAAAGGTAGGGTATATGGTAAACCTTAATGTAGTAGGAGAGATTCCCTGACCTAAAAACTTTAAAAAATAGATTGGAGAACCACAGGTAGGAAGGCAATAGAAATTAATGCCCAAAGTCATTTCAATATTGTAGTGGCAAAGCTAGAAATAGATCCCAGGTCTTCCGAGGCCCTGTCCTCTCCCTTGGCCACACTAGGAATGTGTGCAGGGATTTATGCAGCTCTGGCAGTAAATCCTTTCATTAAAAGGTCAACTTCTTCTGGACAAAACTTCTGCTGGAGAGTTTTTGTTCCAGCTAGGCAATGTCAGATCATTCTTTGCAGGAGGAAAGCAAGAAGAGTAATTCAAGTCGGTGATAATGCCCTGGAGTTAGCTCTGTGACAGATATCACACATTGCAACAGCCCCCCAAAATGAAAGGAAGCTGCAGAGAATCTGAAACTCCCTGTGTCTCTACCTATCAGGCACCCAGAAGGTCGCTCTGGCACACTCAGAGCTGATGTCCAGCCTAATTACTTATTTATACATTATCAACAACAATTTCTACTATATTATGGTTCTCTTCTTCGACAAGGAAAGTGGCTACATTTTTTAAAGTAGGGTTTTTTTTTTTTTACAGATAATAGCACAGTCTTGTTACTAGAGATACCTGTGATTATAATGCCACGTTTTACAGCTTTAGCTACAGAGCAATACTTCCTCTAATGGATTCTTAGAACAATTTCATTGTTCTTCCCTTTGTTGGGTTTTTTCTTTAGCACAATACCAACAAAGCCACCATGCACGAATGTGGGAATCATCATAACATCTAAGTGGCACGCTTTCTTCTTTTTTATTAAAAAAATCATTTCCTATCACTTTGAATAACTACCACATACCCGGAATTTTGTAAGCCAACTGGAAACAACACAAAAGGCTAAACTGCTTAAATTGCTCATGAGGCCTCCAGCACTTACATTCACCACTGTACAGATTATCTTTCTTTGATTTAGGTTGGCACATCTTGGAGCACCACTGTCATGATACTCTAAGCCTGCGTGCAATGTGTTTATAGCAGGACCAAAGCCCTGAATAAGGAAACACCCAACTGATGTCCTGAAAGCCTTATGCTGATGAGAACGGATTTTCTGCAGGATTACAGACATATTGGATTTGCTTTCTTTCTTCTCTTAGCCCTTTTCTGATGCCCTCATCATTTTAGTATCCTACACATTAGAGTCTTCTAGATGTAGGACTCGCACCAGTGCTGTTGTCCTCAGTTTAGATGGGAGGAAACTGAGGCAACCGGAGACTAAGCAGTTTTGCCATCAGTCATGCAGGAAACCCTGTGGAAGAACAAAAAATTGGATGTTCATCTTTCTGGGTAACAGTGGAAACTCTGAGCCACCCTCCTCCAACATGAGAACAGTCTCTCTCATAGTATTTTAGTCTCCTAGTAGTGAATTCTCGGATGAAAAGACTAAAACCAAAAGCTTACCTTGCAAATGTCTTCAAAGCCCCAGAATATGGATTCATTTCTGAACACACGCCAAGGTTCAGTGAGTTCACTTACTGCCAGATATGATGAGTAATTTAACAGAAAAAAATGAAAGCAAAAGTTGTTCATAAAATGTAAGAAACGTTCTAGATCAGAACTTGGGTTAGGTTCCCTCTAGAATGGAGTCTTACGTCTGACAGTAACCAGCAGTGATGATCAAGGGAAGAGTAAAAGCCTCAGTGTAACTGGTCTTTGCTGTAGCGTAACATTCCAGCTTCTGGCCTCCATCCATGTAGGAACTCCCTAAGCCTGAGACTGCATCTGGACTGAAGCATAAATGAATCAATCCTCCATGAATTTGTCCAAATAAATGCCCATGTACTTTTGGCATCCGCTAATCCTGTAACAACAAGTTTCAGAAATTAATTATGCATTGTATGAAAAAATGCTTCCTCTTGTTTGTTTTAAACCTGCTATCTAATAATTTCATTGAGTTTCTTTAGTGATTGTGTTTGAAAGACTGCTGAATAATTGTTCTCTATATAACTTCTCTACCTGATTTATGGTATTAAGAACATCTACCTGATGCCTCTTTATTTGGTTTGTTCAGCAACAATTTATTGTTTTGAAAACCAAAAATTAAACTTCAAATAGTTTTCTCTGCAGAAAGCTTATACAGTGGTTGAGATTTTCTGAGTTAAAAAAAAAAATCGTGTGAATGTTTAATTTTCCATCCTTTGTACATTTACATATACCCAGATAGAAATTAACCATGGGATGAAGTAGCACCTGTATATATGGACTAGGCTAATCGTATATAGACGTGTTAAAAGAAGGAGCTTCATGAAACTCCTTTACTGCTACTACTGAATAACCCAGAAAGAGAACTGCACTAAACTTTGCTGATGTGAGTGGCTGATTTGTATTTCAGGCCTCACTCCATGACACCTACGGAGTGTGCCCAGCCAAGTTAGACCATCTTTAGACTCTCCTTTCCACATATATTCATATGCAGAAACAAATGGCATTTTGAAAGCGATATAAAAGCATGCTCTTCCCAGCTTCCCTACTCTATTCTTGTAGCTACCTCCAGCAAGCAGAATGGCTGAGGGAGCAACTCATTTCAAACTTAAAGCCAGAATCTCTTCTTGTACGGCTTTGGCGTGTCATACTGGAGTGCTGAATGCTGACAATTCACATGGGTACAGCCTGCAGCTGCATCCTACATTTACTGATCCTCTTTCAAATTCTTGATACAACAGAGTCTCAAATATATTGTGGGCAGAAGAACACTCCCCCACCCCCCACGTTCTATTTTGGTATATTGAGCCTAAAGTCTATTGGCTGGGAGCAGTCATCAGACATGACCATATGTTACTCAATGGTATTACAAGTAAATCCTGATTGAGTGCAAATTATGAAGATTAAAGTCACCTCAGATTTAGCTGCCTTATGTTGAGGCAAATGAATTTCAAAGTCCTGTTTAAAATGCTGGCAATTCTCAGCCCGGAAATTAACAGGTTGTCATTACCTTAGATTTTATGAGCTGTTCCAAGTGTCTGGAGTTTCACGTTTGGAGCCCTTAGTTATAGAATGTAAGAACAACCCTTTGCAGTCTACGAACTAAAATATACCAAAGATATTGTATTGTAAACAACACTTGAAAAATTATTGAGAATTGACACAGAATGTCAAGAAGTCGCAGAAGAATCTCCTGCTATTACCTTTTATAAATGATGTAAAAGCCTGAATGATTACTGTTGTAATTGTGGTTAAAATCAAACAGTTTTGCATTTAAGCAATACACTGTCAGGATAAGCCAGGACCACTTTATAACAGGCAATGAGGTACCTTTTGAAAACAATTAACCACCAGAAAGTATCTGCTTGATGACTGAAGTTTATTACTGTTTCATAAGAGGTTTGTAAGGTGGCATGAAGCTGAACTTCATCTATTGGTGCACTTCAGCTGATGCACTCCATTTTAATGAGATTAAAGGTTTAATGAAGATAAAAGATTTTTATCTCTTCAGTGCACCTGGATTCAACACTGGGATTTCAGTGT